AATAATTTAGTATATCAAAGTGTTTTTGTACTATTATTAGCTACGGAGAAAATTCAAATAATTGTTATTTTAAAATTCCCATGTTATTCTTATGGGGAATATTGTAAAATGTTGTAGTCTGCTTGCTTATGGATATATTTTGATCAAACTTGGTAAATTTATTTATTTTATACTAAGTTATTAATATTTCTCTAAAAAACACACTTTTTTACCCTCCCTGTAGCAGCAAGCCTATGTACTCATAAAAATTAATGTTAATTAAATACATTTAATTGAAAATTAATTCAGGCAACTGGAAATTCGCTTAGTCGGCAGGTTTGCTGCGGCGGGGGTATTTTTAGTTTTGGCCAATATTAAATTGTCAATTATCAAAGTCAAAATAAGAATAGTCAATTTCAGTACAACATTTAAATCACTATTTATTTACTCATTTTACAATATTAAAACATGTGATACCTAATTAATCTTCACAAATAAACCATACAAGAGAAATATAAAGATTAATCAATGGTCATACATATATATGAAATTAGTCATTAACAGACATCGCAAGGAAGACGAGGAGAAAAATCGATAGGCAGAATACACTACACAGCAGAACAACATTAGAAGAGATAAAAGAGGAAAACACCAGATATATCACATTTAGCTACACGGGGACTACAACACAAAGGACTGCTAACAGATTCAAGAAATACGGAGTTTCAATAGCCTACAGGACTCAGAACACCATGAGTAAAATACTGCATCCAAAAATAGAAGATTGTAACAAATTCAACGCTTCGGGCATCTATAAAATCAATTGTAACGATTGTGATAGCTTCTACATTGGACAGACTGTGAACTTCGTTAACCGCTTCAAAAACCACATATCTGCGTGGAGGAACAACAAACCGGAAAGATCAAATGTCTCACAACACCTGTTACAAAATGGCCACTCACTAGGAAAAATTGAGGATAGTCTAGATATTTTAAAGAATTGTAAGAAAGGATATGTACTGAATGCTTGGGAAGAATTGTATATTTATAAGGAAACATGTAAAAATCGAAATAAGTTGATTAATGAACAAGTACATTTTGATTCCAGTTGTACTTATAAAAATGTATTGGCCGGTGCTTCCGGTAGCCAATAGGGTATAAGTAAGGACACCATTCAAGATTCTTGTCATTCGCCTATTGGGTCTGATGAGTGTCCAATCGAAATCGATCACCACTTACCATCTTTTTTGTATATTTACCGTCATGCGAGTAACAGTATAAGCGTAAATATATGTTTTAAGTATTATAAGACGTTTCTTTTATTTACTTTCCGTGGTATAATTTCAAAATTAGTCCTTAAGGAATCAAAATTCAACTAAGCAGTGATCCATGTGTTCAACAATAGAACCATGTGAACATTCAGATTGAAGAAGACTGAAGAGAAGGAAGCCATAGTTGAAACTGTTAAAAGAAGGAGTCCAGATTTCATCTAAAGTTAAATTAATTAATTTAATCAAGAAAATCCAGTTTATATTACAGTCAACCTCAAGAGGACTCAACTCCAACATTATTTTTTTTTTTTATTAAGTATAAACTTTTCTTTTAAAATCACTTAAATTAAGTGCACATTAGACTTACCTTTTGGACAACCTCAAAATTTTATTTTCATTGTTAGGATGTCGTAAGTTTAACACATTAATTATTTGGACAATATTTAATTTATTAATTCTTATTATTTAAAGCCAGTACAACACCCTACCCTGAGATAAAGCCGATACAACCAACCGGAATAGTCAATGATGTTCCAATTATTAAATTACCACCCCATTTTAGCTCAACATATTATTAAGTTTTTTATTAAATTATTCTTCCGACATTAAAAACCATAAATTATGCATTTACATATCTTATTTATCTTTTACAACAAATATTACTTACATTACTAAAAAGCTCGTGTTAAAAGTACCTCCCAGATAGGAGGGAATCACGACGAAAGAGCGGCTCAGTGCCCTGCTGACTACATTCATCTTTCCCATTGTCCTCATCAAGAACGAAGCTAGATGGATACACGTACCTTCCAGAGAATTTTTAATCTTGATATCTTATTCCAAAGTTTTATTTACCTCCTGAATCGTATTATAACATTATTTTTAACGGAAATGAATATTTCTAGCTGACTAAATATTAGTTATTTTGGACATATGTTAATCAACAATGGTGTCACTTCGCTTCTAACCTAACATAAGTGAAGGTGAAGTGAAGCAAGTTGAGAAATTATGAGAAAATTTAAGAATAGCCGATCGCTGATAGAATAGAAAATTATCATTGACTATAGAAACATTTCTAAAGTGATTCATTAGTCAGTTAATGTTTCCAGAAAATTTTTTCTCACTACGGGGATATAAATGGGCTAGCTGACCACTTACACCTAGTCCTTATTTAGGCATGTTAGGATGGGAGGTCGTTCTTTATGTTGATTCGGGGAGCTGTACTAAGTGTTTTGAGGTTAGATTAAGAAGGCAAAGTTTCGGTTACAAAGATCCACGTTGTTAGTAAGCTTGCATTTTTTAAATAGTATTTTACAGTGTCCAACTGAGACATAGGAATTGGCTAACTCAGGAACTCGCTAACTCGGTCATGTGTCGGAACTGGCTAACCGTCTCAGTCAGGAATTGCCTAACTCCGGAACCCGCTAACTCGATTTTGTCCCACGGCGGAATTCGCTAACTCTGGAAGTCGCTAACCCGCGCCCACTGCACGGAGCGTTGCCAACATTGTACGACGAAATAATTATTGTACACTGCCGTATTTCAAAATGTCAGTGTAAATAAAGATACAGTAATTGTTATTGTTTTTTGTTATCAATTCCACTGTTAACAGCTACCTAGCCCAAAGTAATTACAAAGCAATTAAAAAAGCATTAAAAACTATTTTTTATTCAACTGTACAGCGGCCAATTAAATGTTTATGATTTCGATTGTAAATATAACTGCCAGTATTATAGGAAAATGATAGAATATGAAATATATTGATCATCCAGTAGTACCAATTAAACCTCAATGAATTTAAGCTAAAATACACGCACGTTCTCTAACACGAAAAACAAATTTCATTGTGATGTCATAATAAACCAAAACCACTTTCATAACTAATTCATAGATTTAAAATTAAAGGTTCGTCGTTGAATCGTCCAACTTACGTGTAAAAATATGACCCAGGCTACGTTTCTACGTTTATAGAATAGCTGTAAATCTAGGCCTAATAGTTTAAACCAAAGCATTGTAGGCCTACTAGTAAAAGCTAGTTGCCTAATTAATTCTAAAATTTGTTGAATTGTTGAGTAATAACGTTACATGTTTTAATAACAGTTTTTAGATTGTAAACCTAAGCCCCACTAGACAATAGCTTTGTTGTTGGATAAGATCAGCTAATTAAGCTATGGCCACCATTCGTAAAAATGGTAACAAACTAGAACGCCTGGGTCCATTTAGAACCATAAAAACTCCAGACTTTTTAAAAGTACTGAAAGACGTAAAATTAATATTAACCAAACAAAATTAAGAGGATGACCCGTTTTACACTAATAACGTACGAAAACAGAAATTTACAAATTGTATTTTTGCATAGAACATTTTTTAATAAAATCCATAAATACATTACCACTTTATAATGTATTGATTAATATTTATTTAAATTCAATAGCTCTATTTAAAAATATATTTAACACTACTATATGGTTGATGACTACTAGTAAAAATAGTCTGGTTCAAAATAGTCTGGATATAGATAAACTAACAACTCGGTTCTTTGTAACCTAGCCTTTACCTTACTTAATACCTAATCTAACCTACCTTCAAAGGAATAGCGTATGAACATAAAGGACAACCTCCCATCCTAACATGCTTTTTTGGCATCAACAGTTAGAAGTTTGGTAAGGTTAGGTTATATTAGATTAGGTTTTAACAGATTAGGCCCAGTTTTTTAGCACCATGTATTTTAGACCTTTTCCACTTAAAATAATTTCCCTCCGATCACGATCCCCCCCCCCAAAAAAAAAACCCCGATTCCCACCAGTCCACAAGATGGTGTTAAGGGGTTAGGATGGGTTTAAAATAATTTCCCTTATTTATTTTAGTTGCACTATACATCTTAGGTCTTATTTTAAGTATTTTTTTTAGTAAAAATTACTTAAAAATCTCATGTGGCCGTGATCTAGAAATTTGCCTAATTATTATATTTGCCTTTTTTATTATGTACTAAGTTGTTATATATCCCTTTAAGGATTACATAATACATTTGTATTAGGTTTGCAGTTGACATGCGAAATTGCACAGATTCCTCTAGTACTTTATTACTTTCGCTATAACAGCAAACCTAATTAATGTACTCGTTAGCCCTAAGGCCACAAAACGCTATTTACACTAGGCGGGAACGTTGATTTTCATCATATTGTCAATTGTCATCAGCCACAACAACTAAACTAATTGTGATGACGAAACAGTAGTTTGATGGCTACAAATCCATGACAGTGTGATGTGTGTTTGTGTCCTGGTGCCCACGAATATATTGTATCAGTACAGTTTATTCTTAAATCTGTAACAGCTGTCTCTTAGCTTTGCTGGATACATCCTACGCGGGATGTATTTGTCATTATTATAGGAAGGAACGTAAAGAACACAGTCCTCGTGTCAGACTTGATCCAGCTCACTTGGCCAATACTGGGATCTTTAGTAGACGTTAATTCACGGACAACTCTCAAATGAATAAAAGCGAGACTAGTGTTATTTTGTATAGTTTGAAACTATGTGCATATTTAACATGTTGTGTTTGTAAATTACTGCAGTTGTTATATTTACTAAAGATGTTGTTAGTTTAAAATGTTACTTAAAACTACAAACCTGTGTTCACATTTCTTTACACCAAAGAATATTATAGTACCGGTATGTATCCAAATCCATCCTTCAGCACTTTGAATCAAATATAAATGTCACTATACATTACAAAAATACAATATTACTTACTTGAATGTTGTCAGAGCAGCTTTTGTTTCCTTCACATATCCTAGATACAGTTTCCACAATTCTATATTGAGCACTTTCATAAGACACCGTTGAAAAAGCTAAAAACACAATCATATATGTGGCATAGTTATGGATTAAGGCATTAGGAAAGAACTGAATGTAGTAAACACCAGTTTAGTGGTTTTGATTCTTAAAGACTAGAAGAGTAGGTACCATGTACAATTACTTTGCCTTTAAAAATTGTATGGACTAAATAATAAGAATAATTTATTCCGTTGATCTTTTTACAAAGAAATAGGACACGTCATATACATTACAAAATAATCATCTAAATACAATCAAATTTCTGATACATCAAAATATTACATCAAATACCATTAGTTAGGCATAATAACTTATTTTAATCAAAATTTATTATCAAAATTGCACTTGATAAAGTCACTTAGGCTGTAAAAAGGGTTTTGAATTAGCCAATTATAAATTCTACTTAAAAAAATATTATAATCAACAAATTTTGCACTGTCAGGTAGTTTATTAAAAAGGCGAATTAAGTGGATTTTGAAGGAGTCGCCCGTTTGACATTTGACTCAATTTCAAATATTGTGTCTTTTCAAGATTAGAATGTAGCTCATTTGAAGAAAACCAAGCAAGAGCCTGTTCCTCAGCTTCTGCTGTGACCCGATTCAGGTAAGTTTTTGTGACTGGCTAGTAAAGTGCATCAGCATAAATTATTGAATGGATATTGAGATGTTGAGGCAAGTCGTTTATATATACTAAGAAAAAGTAAGGGCCTAAAACAGAACCCTGAGGGACACCGGTCTCTACAGGTCGGTGTCAATATTAAAAATGTTCTGCTATGAAAGCAGAAAATTTTTAACTGATATATACAGTTTTATGTCATACAAATATGATTGAATAATTTTTAGTGTGCCATCTTCAATGCCATAGTATGATAGTTTACGTAGTAGTACATCAAAAGGAACACTATCAAAAGCTTTACTAAGATCACACAAAACTAGCGAAACCGACGCCTTATTTTCAAATGCATTTAGTGATAAATCTGTTAAGTACTGCCGAGGTGGTAGACTTACCAGGACGGAAACCATGCTGGAATTCAGAAAATAAATGTTGGGACTCAAAAAAATAACTAAGTTGATTGTGCATATTAGATATTATTTAATATATATTACTATTAATATAGATATTATTATTAAATATTAGAGATTCAAATATTTTAGAGAATATCGGAATAATAGAGATAGGTCTGTAATTTTGATGTAAGTTTTTATCTCCTTTTTTAAAAACTGGAATCACTTTAGATATTTTGAGCAATGAGGAAAAGTATCCTTCTGACATACATTTGTTTAAAATAAAAGCAAATGGCTTACTTATTAGGATGGTTTGTTTCAGTATTGAGTTAGACTGCCAATAAAAATCCATTGAATTAGAGTTGGAGAATTTGGTTTAAGTAGAGTCCCACAAACTTGGCGTAATGTGGACTGGAAGGGTGCCGAGTTTGTGAAATGCCGGGTTATCGGGATCTAGGGTTAAAAATAAGAACAATTCAGTTTTTAAGCTTTTTAACCATCTTTTATATTTATATTACAAGTCAGTAATATAAAGCATATAAAGCAGTGTTTCTCTATCACACACAGTCATTGTGACCCATGTGATATTTTTATTTGCTTTATGTAATGCTGTAAAATAATTTGTTGTAAATAAAGAATTACTCTCTCTCTCTCTCTCTCTCTCTCTCTCAGTATTAAGTCATCAGATATAGTATAAAAAATCCTTAGTACCAGTTGCAAATAATTTGACTTAAGCTGGCTTGAGTCCATGATTAACTCGGACTCAAAAAAACCACTAATTTTCTGAGCCAGGCGATGGCCGGGCTATCCAGACTGCTGGGTTATCGAGTGCCGGGTTTGCGGGACTCTACTGTACTTGTATTACATCAGTTGAGGAAATTTCTGACCATGTGAACATTGTTGTGTTTTTTGGAGTATTACTCAAGAGTTCTACTGGATTATTGGGACTGAGATTCCTTTGCTTAAACTGATTTATTGAGTCTATAAAGAAATTGTTAAATTCATCAGGATCTAGATTGACAACAGAACTGTGAGTTGGAGTAAACTCACTGCTTATAACTTTCCATGCAGCCTTGCAGGAGTTTTGAGGCATTGCTTATATACTGCTGCAAAGAAATTTTTTTAGCTTGCAGAAGTTCCCTTTGATATAATCTTTTTTGTTGCAAATAAACATTATAAGCAGCCTGACAGTGCTCTGAACCTTGCTTAGGCATATTGTTATAAATTGTATAGAGAGTTAACATTTTATTTTTTGTTTCTGCTAATGAAGGAGTATACCAATTAATAATTTTGGATTTTTTACATGCAACCTTATCAGTTACGGTACTTACTTTCTTTCCTTCTAAATTACTTTCTTGCTTCAATAAAGTAACACAGTTAAAGTTAAATGAGAGTTAAAATTAAAATACAAGACTAGGAAATTTAGTACCAATTTTACCAAACATTAACTGGGCTACTGAAATCAGAGCCACTATAACATATATTTTATTTTAATGTTCTAAAATGTTATTAGGCCTACTTAATTTATTTTGATAAATTACTGTCATTATTGTAATTTACTGTCTCAAATTGGTGAAAAGGGGAATACGAAGAACAACATTAACAGGTATAGTTTATAATAATAAGTAATACCAAATACCACTGTGCCAGCAAACCTGTCCATAAAGGAAATTTCCATTTATTGCTTTGTTGAGAATTCAATCTTATTGTTTTCTTTTTTTTAACTGAATAGAAAATACTCCGCCATTCACTGAGAGCACTGCACACTGAAGGATCTAGGAAGAGGTACCACCAGTTTCTAAATTGATGAGATCACATAAAATGTGGAGCTAGTAAAACCCACCTTAATACATTAGCAACCTGCCAAAAGGACTTAGCTGTTGTCGACTCCATCAAACATTAGCATTGCAGTACAGCTGCTAATTAGCAAAGTGCCTTTGGTTGTTAGTGTTAAATTATGCCTAACTAGTTTTTTTCTTTTAATCATTTTAATCTTTATTTATACTAATTACGATAAGGGTTTTTTCTGTAACATCCCTTTTTCGCCCATCCAACTTATTAAAAGATTTTTACAATAAATCAAGTGTCATTTTAAAGCTTATAATGTAGCGCCGGGACAGATGGCAACTAAAAAGGTGATTTTCTTTAGAGCTTCACCCCCATAGTCTTTGATTTATTTCAACATAGTGCTTTCAAAGGCCCAATGTTGCTAATTAATTTTCTAGATTATTGTAACTTGACTGAGGTAGGTAAATCAGCCTTTAAGGTATAAATTATAGATCTACAATAGGCATATTTTAAATATTGTATATTTGTAGTTTTTTCATCTAATAAGGGTCTTTAACTTTTCTGTATTTTTTCTGTTACAAAGTAATATTTGAAAGGTAAAAGCATATTGCACCGTTCATTTTGCCTAGGAATCGAGTTTAGAACCCAATTAAAATGCAAAATTGTTGCTCTCGCCTTCTCATAAGTTTTAATTTATGGCTTATTTCTTCACATACATGTATTTTATGTGATGGCTTTGGTCGAAATTAATTTCTACATTACTTGGTACACAGTCGTTTATTTATTTTTTATACCATATAAGAAGAAGATACCAAAAGACATAGCATCTCCATATAGGTGATTCGATAAACAGGCAAAAGTTGATGGTTGTTGTTAACATCCAAACAGAAATTGAGAAATTTAATTCTTCTAGAGATCCACAGAAATTGTCAAGAGAAATGTCATAAAATTTGTTATTGAATTCTATAGGCCTAGGTGGATTAGAATTGGAATAGATTTAGGTTATAAGATTTAGACACCTGAGTGTGTATTTTAAGGCGAAGCTTTAATGTAGATTTAGCTGTTGTAGTGTAAGACTGTAAGCATTTAAACTTATTATTCAAATTTTCAAAAGCAAAATTCAGATAATTCTTTTTAGTATTATGGTAAGTATTTTACTAGGTATTTGTTTTAAGTATGTTTGAAATTAAAGTTACTTCAATTGATTGTCTTGTTTTTCATTGGCGACAGCTTACTAATTTAACTTTGTATGACGCTGTAAAGTACCTTTAATATTGTAAATTCGTCTGTTGAAAACTGAGATTGTTTCAGCTAGAAATTATTAATTAATTAATAAAAAGTTGCAAATTAAACAATTTTAAAATCAGGTTAGCCAAACGATAGGCTTTTAAGCTCTTTTGAGCTGGAATCTTAGTTAGTTCAAGTATGGGCATTTTTTCTGAATACACCCAACTGTTCTCTTTCTAGAACGTGCACATATAAATAGCGTTTAAATAGTTAATAGTAAACATAGCAATTTACCTACCTGCCTTATTTCAAAAAATGTAATATTTTCTATTTCATTTTAAGTATTATAATACTATTATAATACTATATACAATTTAATGTGACGAACCTCATTCTATGGAACACATTAAATATCAAATAATCTTGGGTTATCCAATTGATAACTTAAATATTAAAAATTGAAAAATGTATTTTTTTTTATTAGTTTTTAAAATTGGAATCATTCTTTCTTAGCACTTGTGAGCACCTTATGCTTTTTTGAGGGTTTTGTCAAGAAAAAAAGATACTCTGGACACAGAAATTCACTGGCACAGACAAATAGAGAACCAATCAACATTTGATCTACGGTAGAAATAAATGGTAGTGTCTGTACTAATGTTTATTCAATGAAGTTGTGCCCTGGCTCTAGCAGAACAAATCTTGCCAAACTGTGTTTAGGTTAGCTGGAATACATACTGGCACAATCTCTTGGCTAAACCTTATACAAAATCAGCTTCTTCATTTTTAGTCTCATCATTCAGTTGTAGTCAATTACCTAAATAGTTCAATAATATTTCCTCATTAATAAGAAAGATTTTTAACAAATTTAAGTACTTACCTGATTGTGTTATGCCAAGTTACTTTTAAAACTTAAGCTATGATGATGACGTATTTAGTCTTAGTCTCTAATGGAAACAGCCCGGTGGCAATAGTGCGTAATTTGCCCAACTGATTTTAATTAGTGCCAAAATCAAATCTAAATGATCTACACTACTATAATTATTCTAATGTAGTTAACAAAGCTGAAAACTCCATATTAATATTCATGAAAAGCCAACTCATAAAAAGTTGTTTCAATGTTAACACTTTTTTTCATTATAATTCTACGTAGGCCCACTCTGAATGCCACAGGATGTGTAAATGATCTTCAGAGGTTTAAATAAAAATCTTGATGCTTAGATCTAATAATACACAACCTCAGACCAGTAACACATGTCATTAACAAGTTTATTTATATAGTAAAATGTGTTGCTAGGTCTGAGGTGAATATACCTTGGGTCTGATAATAATTGACCCGATACACAGTAAAAAAACACAAGTGAAACGGAACAGGCTTATCTGTAGATTGTTAAAAAATGAACAAAATTTAATTTTAACAACTGTACTAAATTGTATACATGAAAACATGAAATGTGATCTGATTTATTTTGTTGTTGTTGTTGTTGTTGTCGTCATATTTTCTTTAAAACAGGTAAGTCTGTCCCATCTCTTGATACCACCTTACTTTTGTTGGGCAAAAGTAAAGCTTTGGACATGAATAGGATAAGAACCAAATAGGAACCCAGAAAATGACCTTCAGTGGATTTACGGTTAAATTGTATAAGTTTTTATAAAAACTTACATTTCAATAGCAAATTTAGAACACAAAGTTTGCCTAAAGTGATGGTACCAAAAATATAAAAGAAAAATGTAGGCCTAAATCAACGTGCAAGTCATTTAGCTAAAAAATATAATATAAATAGCTAGGCTATAACATTTAAACTTTAACTTGCTTGCACCAATGAATCCACTACTATATTACATCTAAAATGTCATAGTTAAGTTTTATATGGCTACTTTATTTTTAGTGTCGCAAGACTCTTGCAATCTTGTTCTGCCTAATATTTATGTTGGCATCAGGTATACAATGTATTGAGTAATCAATTTAAGAGTCCATACAATTCATAGGAGGGTAGATAGTTTGAGTGGAATCATTTTAACACCTACACAAAAAAGTAGCCTAGACAATGAACTGTAAATCTTAAAAAAAACATTAGTCACTGATTCCTATGTCAGAACACTTTTAAATATCCGAACGTTTGACACAACTTAACAGAAACCACTGAAAACCACCTCCCAAGCTTTAACACCACATTAGTTTAATAAATAACGGTAAATGATTATAAATGAAATTGTATGTATTTCAGGTTTGAGATAAATAAAGAATTTAACTGAATCCACTTTTGATTTTCTAAAATTACAAAACTGTTTTACAATGGTTATCTTACAATATTTGCAACATACCTTTTCAACTTTTTCAAAATTCCGACTTCTCATCTGAAACAAAAGCACATCATGCAATAGAACCTACTTAGGGTGTTCATAACTGTGGCTTCGATACCATACCTCTTAAGCTTGTCTTAATCGGTACTGGATCTTGGTCTTACCCTGAGTACTACGGTAATAGCTTATTCCCTATATGGAAAATTTGCTGAAAACCCAATTTTAACCCCATAAATCCCAGTTAAACCCTGTGTCCATGGTTCGCGAACTTGTTCGAACAAATGTATGTTTACACATTTGTACCAAATGTTATCAAAATCGAGTTTTGTTAACGGAAAGATATATATATATATATGTATATGAATTTCAAAGGATGGTGTTTTTGGTCCTGGGGAAATAAGAACGAAAAAGTAAATCAGTCTCTTGTCCAGGTGTTGGTGTTACAATGAGACCTACGGTACCGGTAATAGCTTATTCCCGATATGGGAAATTCGCTAAAACTATTTTATTGAATCCCAAAAATTATTCTAAACAAATTAAAAAGCCATAAAAATATGATATACATAATATAGGCTACTTTTATAGCCTACAATAACTTGCAATTTTCAGCCATAAATGGTCCGAAATGGGTGTATGGGAATTATTTTGAAACATCAGCCTAGGCCTAATTCATTTGCTGTTTTCTTCTCAACTTGGGACACATTTTCATATCACAATTACAGTACCTAATTAAACAAACTATATACATCAAAATAAAAACTAGAATCTCGTGAGTAAAATGGTGTAAAGCAAGTCATGATTTCTCCTTGGACGAAGCATCCTTATATATAATACGTGAAGGTGATTTCTACAAAACACTACTCCTCCGTTAATAATGGACGGATTCTTACAAACGACGTGTCAAAATAAAGTATTTTTTGTGTAGACACCCCCTTTCACCAATTCCTGTAATAAAAATCCTCGGGCTTTGCCTTACAGGCCATCAAAGTTGGAGTTTCTCCCATAAGATTAACATGGGGAAATCTAAATATTTAATTGGAAACTTTGTCCCCACTAATTTGAGAGAACGGCTGGGCGTAGAAACTTGGTAGAGGTGTCCAAAGAAAGGTCTTGGTCTGTAGATGAGTTATCAAAAGAAAAACTAAGCAAAACCCCTTAGGACTCTGCCCCAGAAGCTTTTAAAGATCCCTCCACAGAGTTGTTTACATTTTGGCCATGTAAATAATACTTTTTAATGAAACAGCTGTTCATTTTCAAATTGTATTTCAAACAACACACATTTATTGGGAGATACTGAATTCTACCAAATAAGTATTTGCAATGTTATCTCCTGATTTTAAAATTGATTTTCTTCTTTATCATGTCATGTTTTGCAATATAACGTTACATTACAAAATCAGTAGAAAATCCTTTTAGCACAGCAATTCTTAAATTATTTCTTATTGAACTATCTTATATCTATTGTACGGGTTGGTGTCTGCCTTTTTCACCACTTTTGCCTACATTTTATCATATTATTCTACACATATCAAATATTTATGTAGAAATGCTCTTATCTTGACAAATTATTTGCACCTGCCTATATTACGAACTTTGGCGTGCACTGGGTTGGTAACATTATTGAAAAAACACGACATTTTGGCTGTAAAATATGGTACAAAGAGAACATACTATTTAAGCAGCTACTGTCATGACAGAAAGGTCATCTATCTATCTATATATTAATAGGCAAGCATGTTTCTTTAAAACCTTTTTTCTCAGCTCGTGTGAATCGTAGGGAAAATCTACGCATACCGTTGGAAAGCTATTTTCCTGTAGGTGTGCAGAATCCCTTTATAAATTTAAATAGGCTCAAAGATAAGCACAAAAAATTAGTTTAAAAATTTGAAAAAATTAACATGGATCTTATGCGTTGCTATGCTGGTTACGAAATAACAACGAAATATAAACAGAAAATCAAAACAAATGGAGGAAACTCCAATCACATGTTTTATTTACAGTGTGGGGTGAAAATAGATAAGTGAGTACATTACATATTTTTGGTCGAGTTTCGACCACTGGACGACCTCTCGTACTTATTTAATACGCAAGCAGATTTTTTGTGACAATTACTCCTCCGAAACTACTGAACCGATTGACATGTTTTTGGTGTCATTGGAAAGAGCGTAACGTGAAGTTGTGCAGGAAACTTTTTTTATAGGGAAATAATTAGAGAGTGAGGTCCTGGGGCCCTTTAAAGTTTCGTATTTCTCCATAAGATTAACATGGGAAACAAACAATGTTATGAAACTCCAGCTGTTGTCATAAATGCTGTTCTGCTATTTAATTTGATTTGTTTACAAGGAGAATTGTTTCTTAGTGCCATGTGTCAATAAGTTATACTTTTGCATATATTTTAAATTATATACACTGTATAAAATGATGGTACTGTATTACATTAAGAGATATTCATTTAAATAATCAATAAGTACGATTGAGCCTTTGCCTATGTTTCCTGGTAAGTATAGTATCTTAAAGAAAAACCAAATTATTATTTTCTGCGTTCTCACCCCGTAGCGAAGCACGGGCAGAGCAACTAGTATTCCTTTAAACTACATCACATATTCCTTTAAAAAATACGTTGATTTACAATATGTAAACGTCAATATACGTAACAGCCAATTTAAAGTATTTTTGGTTTTGGGAAATGTCCTAATGCTATGTCATTTGCATTATTTGTTGCCAATGAAGCCGCAAGACCTTATGAACTAGGAGGCCCCTAACAGTTCAAGAATAAAAGCCAACTTCACTTCAAGTATTCCACTACACCTAACATTCCGTAGAGAGATTATATTGACAACTTTATATTATTGATAAGGCTGAGACAACTAACTGACATCCCCCATTTTAAGGAATTCCAGCTTTAACAGTAACCCCACAATCAATTTCTCAAAACTATGCTAGAGGGTTCATTCATTGGCACAGAAGTACGATATGGACTGACACGACGTGACAAAGGTAAAATCTAACTTACACTGTAACGGATATACCTCCCTTTGAAGTTAGAAAATGTCTTCCCAAAAAATATTTTCTTTTGAAATAAAATCATATTACACGGAAGTGCACTACAAAAGACTACAACTACAAAGGATCCACCAATACGATTTAAATACTATTTAAAGGTTCTTCCAAAGCAAGAGATACCATATAACATACTAATAATAACTCCGGTATGGGGAATATTTTATTCATTGAATGATCAACCAAATTTGGCAACTAAAGCAATTAATATCAGTATAGTTTTTGCACTTATTACACTTAAAAAAATGCTAAATGCTCAAAATATGTATATTTCATTCAATTTATCGCAGTTACATGAATTAACGTAAGCCTTGAGAGTAACCGTCGATTTCGACGGGTTTCACCTAGTTTAATATAATGTATGCTCAATGAGCTAATAATTGGCCTTTTGCCAGTGGAGAAGCTAAGACCAGTTGTTAGCTCTTTGCTAGTTCTAAGGTTAAGATTATTTTTGTGCCATAAACTCACTCCTCAAAATCCTCTTCCATGGTTAGTAGATGTTGATTTACAGAATTTACCAAAATAGTTTATATAAAATTTGTTTAAAATTTTAAAACACGTGTAAACAGTTAGGATAAAATGTAGGCTTCAAGAAAATACTTGTTCGTATAACATTTTTTCATTTTCAGATTTCGCACTACCGTACCACACTTCACGTTTGTTAAATATGTAGGCATCTGTGGTTGGTAGAGCAAAAGGGAGAAAATTAAGAGCAAATAAAACATATTTAAAAACTGTAGGCCTAATATTAAGTTAATTGTTGGGTGTTTTGAAGACTGACCTTAAAGCTATTACAGAATACCTTGTTTATTATACTTCTATGACTATAAAGTAGGCCTAAAAGTCTAGATATAGACCTTTTCCTCAAGGCATACTTAACTATGAGAATTTCTTACCTCTTGTTCAATATAAATTTTCCAATATCTTCCACAAGTGGGAAAATTAGCAACAAGTTCTTCAAAAAACGGTCTGACTTCATTGACGTATCTTGTCTGAGCTTCACGAATAAGTATACCCCAAGCTTCTAGATCCCAGCGGTTCTCTCGAATAGCTTCTTGGGCTCTTACAAGTTTTTCACTTCCCCAATCCTGAAAAAAAGTATTAACGTTTTAATTTTAATTTTGAGCTACATATTAACTTACTTACCTGAAGATAGGTTGTATAGAACTGTTTGCTTAGAAAACAAAATCTAGGCTAAGGGGCTTAAACTTCTGTACCTAGCTCATAATGGGTAAGGGAAAGCAATCTGCTGTTATCTAAGAATATAAAAAGAGTACTGTACTGATTCAATACTGGACTTTACCTTCAGATCAAGTGGGTGTTTTAGAAAAGCCATACAAGCACACACCCGTACTCAAAAAGATCTTGAGAAAATTTTAGGTTGAAACTGAAAAGATACCACCTAACCATAAAAAGTCAAAGGAAACCAAATGAATAATTATGTCCAAGTTTTTGAAATAAAAGTCCCTTGAAAGCAGTTTAAAATGTTTAAATACATAGTAGGCCTACTAAAAACTATGTTAAGGATAACCGGAAGCAGGGGTGCCCGCTCCTATGGTGGAATGACACAGAGTGTGTCGTAGAAATATTTTTGGGGGGGGGGGTTTTGGTAGGTTTTAAATGATTTTGGGGGGGGGGGAAGAGCTATTTCGTACAAATTTAGTGTGAAGAACTAAACAATTTATTAATGTTTTCCTGTATTATTTGCAAGCCTATAAACCAGTGCGTATGTTTTATTTTATATTTACTGGGATGGGACGTTATAAACTATTTATTACACGTAAAGTAGTAGTGTAGTTAATTGATTCTGTTCATTTCGTCTCGTCCTCAGCCCTTGCCAATACTATAGTTTGATGTCGCACAAACACTGGCGTTTTGCATTCTTTCGGTGAAGCAGGTATAGTGGCCATTGGTATATACGCTAACAAAAAACTCTAATAAATAGTTGGCACATTTAATAAAGGAATATGTTTATATATTCAAAATAAATTAAGAGAAAAACATCTTAAATCAAAATATGCGGGGATTTTTTATTCCAAGATCCTGAGTCAACCATTTGTCAACGGATTATTGTGATTCTTCTGTTTAAATAACGATAGTTTTAAGAGTAAGGAAATGTCAAAGCTACAATTTTATTTTTTTGTCTCAATTTTGTTTTAAGTTGATTTTAGTTTTTAACAAGACTAGTAGCCGACGCAATCGTTCAGCTTTTGGTAGGCACATTTATTGAAGTTGACAGCTGCAAACATTCAGCGTGTGCAACAATTTTCAGTATTTAGATAAAAATGGCATGGCCTAACTATGAGTAAATGCCATAACTATTAATATACGATTAGGCCTATTTGTCTGGTAACAGGATATCTGATTTATGATAAATTACTATGTGTTCTATTTTAATTCTTAATAGTCTAGCAGCCGATTTAGTTGTACAACAATATTGCTTATAGCTAAGTGGTAGGTCTAAAAAGTTTATTTATCAAAGGAAATAAGTAATATTGTATATAACCGTTGCTGTATTAACCTCTTCCCTCTAGTTGTAAACATAAAGATTGTAGCAATTATGTTCTTAGACTTTTGTGGAAACTGTAAAATTAAAATGTTTAAAAAATATATTTTAACAGATTGTTGTTTATGATTTTAAATTGCTTAACATGTGGTTGGATTAGGCCTTAAAATATGCATTTTTTATTAAAACAAGGTGATATAGGCCTACTATACACACAATTACAGTTTTTAGAGAACTCCACAATGACATAATTTGCTTTGTTGAACAATTTTGTAATCATGATTTTTAGTTTCTACCAGAGTTCAGAGAAGTAGCAACAATAATAGTCTTTTATCAATGACTTTGGATATTGCAAGCAGTCTTGACATCCTATTGAACATTAAATTTGTAACCTTTTCTTACGTATGTTTCTTGCATGGTTACGTTACGTTGGAATGCACTGAGTACTAGTAGTAGGCAAAATGTTTCCTGTTATATTTTAAATTAACTCATTTTGCAACTGACATTACCGGTAGGTACCTTTCTTCGATAGATTAAGTGTTTACTTAACACCGGCTTCAATTAAACCAAAGAGAATTTTATAAAACTTCATTTTTTATAATTTACTTTAATTTCTACCATCAAATGAACATGTTATGCTATTATTTAGTTTATTTAGCCAATGTGTTTGTAACGGGCCGGCAATCCATATGACATATTAGCCGGATATCGGAGCCCGAGCTCTAGTCTCGAGCACTTTATTAATGGTGTTTCTGAGCATTATTACTTAAGCCGAGATTTCCGAGCCATTCATATTTTAGTTGGAGATACAAATTGCAACATTTTGTTACCTGGGCAAAATAGTCTGGAAGAGCGCTTCTTAGACGAAATGTATGGATATGGATTTATACCTTGTATCAACTCAATAACTCGACCTGCTCGTAATACCTGCATTGATCATTTTTTCGTCAAAATTGCTAATAAATTCCTAACTAAATCAGCAATCCTTCAGTCAAGTTTAGCTGATCATTACCCCATAGCACTACAAATATCTAAACAGCGACACTTCAATAATGATAAAAAGGAAGCTACTTTTTACAAAAAGACCGACTGGAAAATTGTTAATAGCCTCTTAACACGTTCGCTACTGCAATAGTACGAAATTTTTCATTCACACGGACCAGCGACGCACATATGCGACGGCCGGTTTCCACCCATAGACTGCTGTCGCATATATGCGACGGCTAGTCACATTAAAATAGACTGGGGTTCTAATGTTATTAAAATGTTTATATCTTTGTAGTGGTCTATTTGAAGGAACAAATCACAAAAAAAATTGGCAGGGTAATTGAAAACGCATCATTAAATATTAAAATTAACGCTAAAAATACAAAAATCAAACCTTGGATAGCTAGTAATCTTATTACTTTAATAAGAAAGCGGGATATCCTTTTTAAACAATTAAAAAAAGAACCATTCAACCTGTATCTTCGAAATAAATTCACACAGTATCGTAATAGATTGCATTCCCAAATCAAGCATATAATGTTTAATTATTACAAAACCAAAATTGATGAATCCGCGGGTGACGCTCGCAAATTTTGGTCAGTTGTAAACGAGGTTGCTGCGCCGTTTCCGGTTGAGGCGTTTGTTTTTAACTCTGAAACTACCACCTCCCCAGAAACAAAACAAATTTGTAACACATTTAATATTTTTTTCTCTTCTGTGGGATCTGAGTTGGCAATAGGTATCACGGCTTCGGGACGACTGGAGGTGGATGAAGCCGACCACGCGGTTGATTCTGTGTTTGAAATGGTGCCTGTCAACGAGCCCCAGCTTTCCAATATAATAAATAGTATTAAGGGAGGTTCAGCTTCAGGCTGGGATGACATTCCAGTCAGAATTATCAAAGAAAATACAAGCCTTCAGATTCCAATTCAGCACTTAATAAACACAAGTATACACACTGGGAACTTTCCTGATATCTTCAAATTAGCTAAGGTTATCCCGATACACAAATCTGGGGAAAAATCCGTAATTAATAACTATAGACCCATTTCATTGTTACCTGTGATAAGTAAAATTCTAGAGAAATGTGTAAAAATTCAGCTCTTAAACTATCTGGAGAGAGAATATTATAACAGAAAATCAATATGGATTCCGGAAAGGATTAAACACATCGCACTTTATGATCTCACAACATTTATTACCCAAGAAATCAGTAAAAAAAATGAAGTTATGATAACATTCCTGGATCTTGCTAAAGCGTTTGATTCTATTGATAGGAATTTATTACTCAGAAAGCTAAACTTATTAGGTGTCAAAGATACTGCCTTAACTTGGTTTGAAAACTATTTTTACAGTCGAAAACAGTTTGTAGCAATACGTGGAGTGAATACGGTGATAACTTAACACAGACATTAACTATGGAGTCGTCCAAGGAAGCACACTTGGCCCACTTTTATTTTTAATTTACATTAACAATATCTCAAATCTGCCAATTAAACGTAAGGTGTTCCTATTTGCTGACGATACGGCTCTAGTTTCCTCCGGACCAAACTGGGATGTTGTATATGACAGGGCGTCCTCCGACTTGGGCAAGCTCAAACTTTGGTTTGACCACAACATACTATCCTTAATAATGTGTCCAAGACCTATTTACTTTAGATGCGACAGTGGTCCGGGCCATAGGGCCTAGAGTACTGAGGTTGCATGACTACGGGGGTCCATGGACGGCACCGTGCGATTGTGAAATAATTGAACAAGTCGAAAATTACAAATACCTTGGGGTCATAATTGACTACAAACTTAGCTGGGCCCCTCACGTTGAATATATCAACAAAAGATTAAGGAAAATGATCTTCGCTTTACCACAGCTTGGTTGTGTGCTGTCTGTGGACCATTGCAGGTGTGTATACTTTGCGTATGTTCAGTCACTGTTGCAGTACGGGATACTTGCGTGGGGGGCTGCGTCTTCCTCTGTGTTGGCCCCTCTTGCTGTTACCCAGAAATCCATAATCAAACAAATACTAAAAAAAGACCAAAGATACCCTACCATATCTTAGTGATAGAGTAATAGGAGTAATAGATTTTATCGGGCGCGCGCACAACTTATTACTGGTTTTACCCCCCTATATTACTCCCCAAGTACATGATATTGACACTGTCGTGTCCGTTGAAGTGTCCTCTATCTGTTGGCATCATTGTTAATATTGCTTGCGGACGTATTTTTCGGCAATACGGCCAGCAATAGATTTTATCGGGCGCGCGCACTACTTATTGCTGGTTTTACCCCGCTTATATTACTCCCCAGGTACATGATGTTGATACTGTCGTGTCCGTTGAAGTGTCCTCTATCTGTTGGCATCGTCGTTATTATTGCTCGCGGACGTATTTTTCCGCAATACGGCCAGCAATAGATTTGAAAGGGCGCGCGCACTACTTATTGCTGGTTTTACCCCGCTTATATTACTCCCCAGGTACATGATGTTGATACTGTCGTGTCCGTTGAAGTGTCCTCTATCTGTTGGCATCGTCGTTATTATTGCTCGCGGACGTATTTTTCCGCAATACGGCCGGGAATAGATTTTTTCGGGCGCGCCCAATACTTATTGCTGGTTTTACCCCCCCCTAAATTACTCCCCAGGTACATGATGTTGATACTGTCGTGTCCGTTGAAGTGTCCTCTATCTGTTGGCATCGTCGTTATTATTGCTCGCGGACGTATTTTTCCGCAATACGGCCAGCAATAGATTTGAAAGGGCGCGCGCACAACTTATTGCTGGTTTTACCCCCCCTATATTACTCCCCTGGTACATGATATTGACACTGTCGTGTCCGTTGAAGTGTCCTCTATCTGTTGGCATCATTGTTAATATTGCTTGCGGATGTATTTTTCGGCAATACGGCCAGCAATAGATTTTATCGGGCGCGCGCACTACTTATTGCTGGTTTTACCCCCCCTAAATTACTCCCCAGGTACATGAAGTTGATACTGTGGTGTCCGTTGAAGGGTCCTCTATCTGTTGGCGTCGTCGTTGTTATTGCTCGCGGACGTATTTCTCCGCGATACGGCCAGCAATAGATTTGAAAGGGCGCGCGCACAACTTATTGCTGGTTTTACCCCCCTTATATTACTCCCCAGGTACATGATGTTGATACTGTGGTGTCCGTTGAAGGGTCCTCTATCTGTTGGCGTCGTCGTTATTATTGCTCGCGGACGTATTTCTCCGCAATACGGCCAGCAATAGATTTGAAAGGGCGAGCGCACAACTTATTGCTGGTTTTACCCCCCTTATATTACTCCCCAGGTACATGATGTTGATACTGTCGTGTCCGTTGAAGTGTCCTCTATCTGTTGGCATCGTTGTTATTATTGCTCGCGGACGTATTTTTCCGCAATACGGCCGGGAATAGATTTTTTCGGGCGCGCCCACTACTTATTGCTGGTTTTACCCCCCCTAAATTACTCCCCAGGTACATGATGTTGATTATGTCGTGTCCGTTGAAGTGTCCTCTATCTGTTGGCATCGTCGTTATTATTGCTCGCGGACGTATTTTTCCGCAATACGGCCGGCAATAGATTTCTTCGGGCGCGCCCACTACTTATTGCTGACTTTACCCCCCCTTTCTTATTCCCCAGGTACATGATATTGATACTGTTGTGTCCGTTAAACTGTCCTCTATCTGGTGACATCATCGGTTTCATGTTACGCGGTCGCATTTTGCCGCAAAACGGCCAGCAATAGATTTTTTCGGGCGCGCGCACTACTTATGGCTGGAGTTATTGCCAGGTTCACACCAATACACCTGCATGGTTTGTGCATGTTTTCTTGTTTTGTTTTTTGACTAGAGCTTATTTATTTGAATTGTTTCTTGATGGATTTGATTTTGCATGTTTTGTTTATTTAAATGACGAGCCTATTGTACTTGTTGTATTTAATGGCAATAAAGACTTTGACTTTGACTTTGAAGCCTGGGTATGAGCTAGACATAGGGCTTAGGCCTCCATGATTTCAAGATTTACAGTTAAATGCTAAGTAACTTAAATACTTTATATTAGGCATACGATAAACCCTATGACAATGATTCTTACGCATTACTGTGGTTGCATTAGAAAAACTCACCACTCCCATGTAGTCGTTGTTATTGTCTTGTTGGGCCGTAGTTTGTAAAGTCGAAGCCGGAGCCGCCATCGTAACTTCATTTTGCACTGGAGTTATGATATCCATTGCTGAATAACTGTTGCGGAATAGTTGTAACTAATTAAAAAAAATATAATTGTATCCAATAACCATTAAAGATATGATTAATACAATTAATAAGTACCTAAAAAACTTAGCAACTAGCAATGCGAAAATTAAAATAGTCTAGTTGATGTGACGTGACGTGACGAACACTCGTTTACTGAGGACTGACTGAGTCTGAGTCTCAGTCTGCTCTCTGCTCTCGCTCCGAGTCACTGACTACTACTGTACTGAGTCCGAGTCCGAGTCAGTGAGTTCCAGTTCACTTGAGTTGGAGACTTGGAGTTTGGAGTTGCAGTTGAGTTGACTATGGCTGGCCCAGCGCACATGGGGCCCTATTTTTGAAATGGTTGACTGTTGAGTTGAGTGTCGAGTCATTCTATTTCCAATCGTTTCGTATTTTTGAAACGATTGACGGTGGACTTGTACAACCAAAACTACTCAACACCTATCGAGCTGTTGAGTGGAGGTTGACTGCACTTTCTTCTTCCTCTCTTTCGGCCAAAATTACTCTTTTTGAGTCGACGCCATATTGTTTTGTTATTGCTTTAATTTTAATTTACTAATTAATTGCGATTTAGAGGTTATGTATTTGTTGTCAATGTCTTAGCACCCAATACTTTATGCGATTGTTAATTTTATTTACTGTGTCAATACTAGACTATTTAATCTATTTACTTTGTTATAAGACAATTTAATTTGTTTGAAATGCACTAGGCATACTAATTGAACTTATTAAAAGATAATCAGGCCTATTGTTATTAGACCTATGATTTAAGGTATTAAAGATTGTGGTAACAATATCATAGTTTGTTTCAATACCATTCACCTAATAAAGGTATCAAATTAATTTAAGTTACGATATGCTTTCAGTGCAATGGCAAATAGCCGCTTTAACCTTTACCCTAAATAAAAACACAATTAAAATAACATCAAGCAAACCGATGAAGGAAACTAAAATAAGGTGATGTGTTTCAAAATAGAGACGAAGAAAGCAAATAATAATGTATTTAGGATATGCCTAAACTTATAATTAGCTACACCCTAAAACAAACATCCATAGTAAATTTTATTTTTAATACTTAAGTTTATTTTATTTTATAAGTTAAGGTACTTTTGCAATCACTAAGATTGAAGACATAACCTCAATCTCTCAAGAACGGAGTTGACAGTTTTACCTCAGTGTCTCGTAATATGGTAGATTGAGATTAGCTGCCACATTTTAGAGTAAGAAGAGGTTAAATCGAAGATCGCAAGAACTCTGCATTGTGATTGGTTGAAAATGACGTCATCTGAATTTCGTGCGGTCGTATGCTCTACATTTCCACCACGAGTCACTCAACTAGTGATTCCCAACTCGCTTCCCAACTGTTGGGTTTCAAAAATACCAAATCTTGTTGTTGGTTGAGTTGAGTGCTGTGCTGACGATCGACTCAACTGTCAACCATTTCAAAAATAGGGCCCCTGGACTGTAACAGAACTGTGACTGAACTGATATGTGTGAATCGACCTTTACGGAACCACAGTCTAACAATAAATCTTATCTTACTTATACTAGCTGTTACCCACGGGCTCCACCCCATTTTACTACATTAGTATTAACATTAATAAAACTATTGATTGGTTAAGTTAAGATGAAATAAACAAAGCAGAATACAAACAAATAATAACAGCTGAGGTATTTTTAACATTAGGTAAATGGAAAGTTCCCTTTGGAAAGCAATTACGACCTTATAGGACAACTTATGAAATAATGGATAATTTTGCGCAAGTTTCTCGTCATGACGAACATTTTAAGTATATGGTTTAATGGGGGTGTGACTTGTAGTTTTCTCAAAAGTTCATGGGTACTTTTGGCTTTATATATCTTACTAATATTATAAATCTGAAAGTTTGTGAGTTTGTGTGTGTGTTTGTTGCTCAATCACGCATAAACTACTGGACGGATTGGGCTGAAATTTGGCATGATGATAGCTCACATTCCCGATTAACATTAAAGCATATCCTTATCCCAAAAATCCTTTCGGGCTCCGCCCCAGTGGCTCTGTAGTTCCCCATGTTAACCTTATGATTTTTCATATTTAAAAGGAATTAATGAATCTTAACAGCTGTTTCAAACAAGTTGGTTCTGTTCTATGATGTTCAATAGCATAAAAGTTACAAGGATTACCAACAGGGTGCAGCACTATTATTTTTTTTCTTTATGACAATAGCTAATTTCCAACCAAAAGGTGAGTGAGCGCAGCGAACGAACTTCAACCTGGAGGCGAGTTAGCGTAGCGACCGAGCTCCAACCTAAAGGTGAGTGAGCGTAGCGAACGAACTTCAACCAGGACGTGAATGAGCCATGCGAATACTTATGAAGTTAAACGTGGCAAAGCCCGCGGGTACAGCTAGTAGATTATAAATGTGAAAGTTTGTGTGTTTGTTTGAAGTTCAATTACGCATTAACTACTGGACGGATTGGGCTGAAATTTGGCATGATGATAGCTCTCATTCCCGATTAACATATAGGTACATTCTTATCTCAAAAATCCTTTCGGGCTCCGCCCCAGTGGCTCTGTAATTCCCCATGTTAACCTTATGACTATTCATATTACAGGAGAGTACCTGGGGACCGAGCTTTGCTTGGGGAAAATCATTAGTTTACTCTGAAAGCAGTCTTGGTATTGCACATTGCAGATACATAAATTCATTCCCAAACTCCACACTGCTTGCCTTTACTACTTCCTTCACCACTTCCTACGTCGCGGACCTGTTTGCTTCCGTTCCCATCACATTTTAGGATTCCAGATACCTTAATCTAATCGTCAAAAACAGTTCCCACACTCCGGACAGCTCGCCTTGACTACTTCCTTCACCAATTCCTACGTCTCAGACCTGTTTCCCTCCCTTCCCATAGCATTTTAGGAATGCTAATACCTTAATCTAATTTTTCTAATCATCATAAACAGTTCCCACACTCCGGACAGCTCGCCTTGACTACTTCCATCACCACTTCCTACGTCGCGGACCTGTTTTCCTCCCTTCCCATAGCATTTTAGGATTGGAAATACCTTAATCTAATCGTCATAAACAGCAGTTCCCACACTCCGGACAGCTCGCCTTGACTACTTCCTTCACCACTTCCTACGTCGCGGACCTGTTTTCCTCCCTTCCCATAGTATTTTAGGATTGCAGATACATTAATCTAATCGTCATAAACAGTTCCCACAATCCGGATAGCTCGCCTTTACTACTTCCTTCGCCACTTCCTACTTCGCGGACCTGTTTCCTTCCCTTCCCATATCATTTTAGGATTACCAATACCCTTATCTAATCGTCATGGGTCCCCCTGGACCCAAAAAAGTGGTTTTCGAAGTGATGTCTGTGTGTCTGGATGTGTACAGAGCTAGAGACTACACCTGTGGTCCGATTTCGATGAAATTTGGTACTAAAATGGTATTGTAGGTACCTAAATTTTAGGTTCTAATCCATGGTATCTCCAGGCGTTTTTTTCATTTTTTTGAAATTTTTACTTTTAATGGGGATTTTCCCATAAAAACTCATAAAAAACCGGAAAAATCGGATATTCTCAAAAATGGCTCGACCGATTTTGATAAAGATTTAGTATGTTGTAGCCCTTTAAATTCTGAACAAAATGGTACAAATCCCATTTCTGTAAAAATTACGGTTCAAAAGTTATTGTAAATTATATTATTTTCCCATAAAAACCCCATAAAATAACGGTAAAATCTGATTTTCACAAAGTTGGCCCGAACGATTTTGATAAATATTTAGTATGTAGTCCTTTAAATTCTGAACAAAATTGTACTAATCCCATTTAGTCTCACCGCTTACACATGATAAAGGTTGTTGACAAACTTATGGGATAAAGTATATGTGTCAGAATGCTGATACCGTTTATTGTTTACTTTTTTTATTGGGTTTCATTCTTTGACTATTAATACAACAACTTCTGTATCTAACAGTCAATGGTTTCATTACAAATTATTTTATTTTACGAATCGATTTTTTTAAATAGTTTGTGTGCAATATGTCTAAGTTGTGTGTGATGTAATTTATTTAGCTTTGCCCCTTTTTAAATTGTGATTTTTTTTAAATATTTATTTGTTACGGGAATTTATCACCACCATGTTATTTATTTTTTATTTTTATTATATTAGATTAACTTTTTAAAACCTGTTTGAATAAATTTCATAATAATTAATTGTTGTATTTTACGAATTTACAAATTCATTAATTTATTTATTAGTTTTATTAATTTGTGTGCAATATGTTTGTATATTTTCCTTTAGTGTACTACTCAGTAGTGTAAAAACGCTATTCACTGGTGCAGGAGGAGCAACCCCAAATTGTACCATAGCACCCCACCATGTGTACAGGATATTTTACTCCATGTTGTATGTTTCACCTGTTTTGGTTCCAATATATATTTCTATCTATGTAAAATCGATATTCACTGCAGCTGGAACATATCCAAATTGAGTAGTGTAAAAACGCTATTCACTGCAGAACGCTATAGTTTCAGCAGGACGAGCAACCCCAAATTGTACCATAGCACCCCGCCATGTGTAAAGTTATTTATAGTTTATGATATTTTACTCCATGTTGGTGGATTACATACATTCGCATGTATATTTTCAAAATCATCAACTTGACACGCTTTAGAGGCTTATTTTGTAAACTTAATATGAACTTGTATTTCTAGACTTAAGATAAACTTAAATTGATATAAGGCGTGTCTCAACTCCCAGGCTCCACGAAGGGTGCCGTGTTTCCCCCGGACGTGCGTGAGGCGGACAGTGCGTGAGCCGGACAAAACTGGTTCGGGTGGGTAATTGAGCGGACGTCTCCCTGCATCTACCCGGCTCGCGGGGAATATCTCTGTTACCGGATCGTCCGAGGAATTATCGCGTTTTGCCTCCCAGCGCCCAGTTCTTTCAACCACACCTAAACTACCGAAGCAATATAGCTCTGATTTTGTAGGTTAATAGCTAAGAGACTATGTTTTATCAATAACTAGCAGAGTACCCGTCCTTCGTACGGGGTTAGCATATAAGTATAAATGTTTATTGCAGTTATGGGAGAAGACGCGGTTTAAGACAATTTGGTCTTTTAATTTATACGGTATCCTATAGTGTAACACACATCT